CACCCAGTTACTGCTGCATCAACTGCTGATAAAGTTTAAATCAGTCAGAACATTTGTGGACACTCTTTGGCAAATGTTATTTAACTAACATACAGCTCAAAGTTTGTCTCCTCCCCAGCTTCCTTCTACCTGTATGAAAAAAGCTTCTTCATCACATCAACTTTTGAATAAAAAAGGCATACAGATCACAAGTGTAGTATTTCCTTTCCCTTACACCAGCCCTTAACATCTCTACCCTATATTTTGTGTACCCCACAATATTGGTATTGTATGGACCATATTTGGCAGAGCAATCTGAGTATGGCAACAAACTGTTGGCTCCCCTCCCATGGTCCAGTGCATTAAAATTGTGCCTCTTGTGATTAAAGTGTCATTATGGGTTGCTCATTACTTCCCCTCTGTGGTCACTGGTGACAGCAAATGCCTGTTTCCATGCAGAACAAAGGGACAGATCAATAAATTAGCCATGTACTGCTGATGAGTAACCCCTCCACTACTGAATTAGATTGGCCTTGAAGGTCTTTAAAAGCCAGAAGCACATGGCCATTGAAAGTTAGCCATCCAAAGCTAGACCAAGGTGAGCGACTATGGAAATCAGTCAGTAAATTGTTTGTTTTAATATCTTAATGTTAGACATTTTAATGGCAAAGGGGGTATGGACTATAGGTTATGCTAAAACACTTATTTAAAGATTGATTTGCATTCCTTATATTAATGCAAAGAATACATAAAATGCTTTCAACTGTCTCTGTGTGCAGACTTTGACATACTTTCCTGAAGAACTCCTCTGTGATTCACACTGCTTCCCCATTCCTGCCACTGAATTTCAGCACTAAATGACTGAACAGCAACAGAGTAAAGCATGTATTTGTTGATCACTCTGCTTTGAGAAGATTGGTTTCAAACTACTAATAGCATAATAGATGCATAAACACATTCTCCAAAAAGGTCAGTGCAGTTGCTAATCCAGTGGGGCGAAAAAAAAACTTGTGATTGCTGCTTTTAATGTCAGGAACACCAGATAGAGTTCGGTTATTTTAATAAATGATCGGCGCTGTCGCTGGTGGCAGAGCCGCATACTAAGTAGCAGCGGCGGCAGCTGATAGTAACAGTTAACTTTGAGACTTGAGAAAAATGACATTTTCGCAGAGATGAAACAGAAGCACAGGGGCCCGGCTCATTAGACGAGAACTGCCATTTTGAAAGGACAGATTTTAACATAGGGCAACTTGAGGAGATGGGATGACATTCATGTGCTGCTGCAATTTTCTTTACACCTTTATTAACGATAGATTTTTTTTTTGGGGGGGGGGGGGGGGGGGTATATTTAATAACTGCCAGCCATTCCCACAAGAAATGCTGTCCTAAATGCCAAATAGATCTCAACACACTGACTGATGTTTGACATACCTAGAGGATGTGTAACAAACCAGTCAGAGCAGAGCACTCGTTCCTGAAGCATTACACACACACACACTGGAGCCTTCAGCCTATGAGGCCATGTGTCTTTCTCTGACAAGCCATGGTCTAGGCAGCCAGAGGGGGAGTGGGGAGTGTGTGTGTGTGTGTGTGTGTGTTGGGGCTCAGGGGAGGATTTACTTTTGCCCATGAAACTGCCAGAGAAACTTGCACATCAAACATTAGCAAGCATCTCTTGCTTCACAGATGCCCCCATTCTCATATGACCTGCCAGGTCTGCCTCCTAACCAGCTCACAGTTCCACACACCGACACTCTGAAACCCACTGATTCACTCACTGCAATGCTAGTATGGAGTGTCTTGATCATTGAGTACAAACTTGCCACAGGAGCAAGTCACCATTCAACTCACTTCCATTTTTATTTTATTTTTTTAATATCACAAGCTTCCCTGCAGTAATAACATACACCATGCGATCAGTAGCCTGTTAATAGGAGAATATCAGAGCCTTGTCTTTCTATGAAGGGGTGTGGCAGCGGAGCCGAGTCAGCCATCCTCACAATTCAAACAATATACCCTGGAAGGATAGCTGCTCCTGCTGCAGCAGAGTAGCCGTACATTCTACTACATGTCGCATTTTACAGTCCCCCACCACCACCTTGACCGTGATTGGCACGGGTGCACGTAGCCAATTGCGACCACATGCACGTACACCAGTAGAAAACACGCTGGATAAATCTGGAGATAACGCCCACGGCTGAAAACGCAGGTTCCTCTGCAACCTTATATGATATTTAACGGGTTGGTGAGTGAGGCTGTAATGATGTGTGGGTTTGTCTTTCACGGCCGGGTGCTTTTAACCAAAGCGGTTTACACCGATGTGGTTGCCCTTAAATCTGTGCATTTCACATATTGCATTCTTGACTGCGCCTTTTTAGGAGGAGGAAAAAAAAGTTGGAAACAATTGCCTGTGGCATTAGTGGCAGCTTGACTGAAATGGTAACTTAACATGGCGGAGGCTGGTTTTCCGTGGCCAGTGCAAGGTAACCTCCGTGAACTCTCCATGCCTCTTTGACTCTGCACACCCACCTCAAACCAACCCTCTGATGTCCACATGCTGAATCCTGCGGCTTCAAAAAACCCTCACCGAGAGACCCCCTGCAGCAGCCCGGTGCTCTGTAAAGTCGCCAAAAACCCAAACCGATGCCACTGGAGAAGTCTACAATTCAAGACTCCACAAGTTTCTTTGATTCAAATGAGCGCCCCAGCCTCTGAAACGCAACTTAGCCTATAGCAGCGACCCATTCAAACGCCAGAAGTAAAATACAAAGGCTCCCATCCAGCAGACTGGGAATCACGCTGGGCTCTCTCACACACGGCGTGCGGGTTTATTATAAAGATCTGGTCGGAGAGAAGGTCAGAGGGATCTCTGCGTCTGCTGCGGGGGAGATGGGCAGCAGAATAAGACGATTATAGGTTTGTTTACCTACCTTCAGATACTCTACTGGAGCATTTCAAGTGAGTCAGCCCTGAGAAGATGCACATTCGCCGACAGTCCCGCTTCTCAGCAGTAAAATATCCTCAGCGTTGAGGGGAATTTTCCAAGTGGCCCGGACAGTGTGAGAGCAGCAGCGGCACTGTGTGTGTAAATGGGGAGGGGGGAGATAATCCCACGGTGGAGCAAAGAGGAAATGCGTCATTATTAATGGCCCAAACGCTTTGTAGTCCATCCATATACCTCCGTTGTCCACAGGGACTACAAATGGGGGTGAATTAAAAGATTTATTTTTTGACGTGGGATACCTTTAAGAGTTACCTCACAGGGTGTGTTATGTGTTTTATTGATTGTCACCAAACTATTATGTTAAGTTTGGTCAATAAGCCCTCTAAGTATTGGTTTTCAAGTTCATCCTTGGTGTATGTGCACAGGAGGCTTCAGGTTTCCACATAACCCTTGTGTAACTTGCATATTGGACCGTGATTGGCTTCCAAACTAGTTGTGATGTCACAAAATCCTGCTCGTACATACACGTGTTAAACTGAGATAGAGAGAGAGAAACTTCCCCCTTCAGAAGATAAATGTGAAAACAGCCGCCCAGCAACTGCCTGGAAGTGGGACACTTGATAAGAGTTCATTATTATTTAACTTTTTCAGGGGTCAGTTGGATCGAGGGAGGACAAAAATATAAACCGAGGGACTGGAGGCATTTGCTTACTTGCTGTAAGTGGACACTGGGTCCTTGTTGTCAGGGGACAGTTGGGTGAAATGTGAACCTAAGGGGGGCAATGCTTAAAGATGTTGATCCGAGCCTTAGCAGGAAAATCACAGCTAGATTCCAGACATTCTGATGGAAGCCCCTTTTTACTGTCAGGGCCATCAACACGTCTGTCTGCTTCTATAATCTCTATACTATACTATACTACACAAACCCTCATAAACCACCAGGTATGTAACACGACTGACCTTTTCAAAATAAGAGCACAACTGTCTACTTTGTTTTCATCTGTCCATAATTCCTGAAAAACTAACAAAAATAGTTTTAAACAACACCTCCAGAACCAGTTTGCATAATATCAGGGTCACAGGAAATAGTAGTACCTTTGAAATAAGATCCCAAAGATTTTCTTCACTCTGGCAGATTCTCATGTTGACACTTCTGCGGTTTCCTTTCAACAAGCATCCGCAGGCAAGGACGAGGGAAAAAATCCTTTCAAGTACAGCAGACCTACCACATTAACAGTACAGATGTCAAGTTTCGGCCTGTGTTCAACTTGACAAGAGACTGATGATTAGTGCTGCCGTTTGACGACGTGTTTCTATACTTCAAACCTAAAAGGAACTGGTGGATTCCAGTAACCACAAACCTTTCAGAAACTAGAAGGTGGGCTTGTGACTGCTTCCAAAAGCGGACATATGCCAAGATAATTGTTTTGAGCACATAGCACAAAAATCCATCAACTGAGCAGGTAAAGCACAAAAGCTGAAGTCAGACAAATGCCACCACCTTGTGGTTAAACACATGCTGTACAAATTACAGGAAAAAACATAACCACTTCAAATTGTTGGATGGATCTTCGAAAAATTTAGGATTTGTCAATATGATAATATCAGTTATTGTAAGACACATAAGATATGTTATTGTAAGATACATTCCACTTTCTAAATACTGTAGTTTCAGTGCAATATGCTAATGTAGGAGACACAGACTGTAGCTTAATTTAATACCATATCCTGGAAGGTGTTTGGTTAGGTGTGATCTAAAGGTCAACAGGTTGTACTGTATTTGTGTCTTTCACTGAAAAGCTATCTAGTCATCACATTACACAGTTCCACTGAGAATTACTTCAATCTCACCAACCAGGCCAAATTCTGTTTTCAGTATTTCGATTGGTGCTTGCACGAAAAGATTTTTGCGTCCAAAAGAAGTCACAGCAGGGCCAACACACCTCTTAACAACAGGCTTAGGCAAAAGAAATCATGCTTTTGCTACAAAGAAAATGGCTAATTGTTCAAAGGTCACACATTTCCAAGTTTCTTAATTAAATAGTTATTAGTTCATAGATAAATAAAACAAGGTGAGAAGGATGTGCAATTAGATTTTACTTTGAAGTTGACGCACTTGAAAATGTTGTAATAGAAGCATATTAAGGCATTGCTGAACATATTAATCTGTACAAACATTTACATTAGAAAATATAGGCAAAAATGTTGACTAAATAATTATATTCAGACATAAAGCACAAACTGTGCAATTCCCACTGATGGACAAAGCATGGTCTTTATGTTAGTGCACTGTAAATATTAGGACTAAGTACTTATACCAGAGCTAAGTTAATCCAGGTACCTTGGCAAATGACTTGACAAATGGTCCATATTGGGAATATCTGAATGACTGTAGGGTAAAAACATTTGCACTTATTTTAGTGTAGGTTCCAACCCCTGTAAGGTCAACCACAACTGAGCAATTCAATTCTCCATTCTTTCAAATTAATTTTCTACTGTAATTCTGTTTTGAACAGATCTTGCATATTGCCGACAATATTTCGCACATTCACAGTTTGTACACCACGCATAAAGAAGCATATCCCACCAGAGGGGTTTCCAATTGCAAAGATACAAAAAGCACGTCTACTCCTCAGCCTCCACTACTTTGGGTTTTGGCTCATGTATACCAGATTCCATCCCTGGCAAACACGTTCTCCGACGTGCAGCAGTCTCAATCTTCTGCACCAGCTCCACATCCCACGGATGAGCGACAAAGCTGAGCACCTCCCCGTCCTCCACCCCTCCTGCTCTTCCCACCCTCCCTGCTCTGTGGATGTAGTCTGTGTGGGATTCTGGGAAGTCATAGTTGACAACTAAGTGCACTCGGGAGGTGTCCAGGCCACGTGAAGCAATGTCTGTGCATATCAACACATCCACCGTGCCCTTCTGGAAGGAGCGGAAGATTCCCGCACGCACGGCAGCGGGCATCTCCCCTTGCAGACGCGCGTGCTGCACCCCCATCTCCTCCAGCGAGTACCCCAGCCAGTTGACGGTGGCAGACTTGTTGCAGAACACCACAACAGCGCCCCCTCCTTTCTCCTGTTGGAGCAGCTTCAGGGCTTGGTGGAGCTCCAGGACCTTGTCCGCACCCTTTACCTTCAGGAATGTCTGCTTGACATGTGGCATGAGGAAGTGCAGCATCTTGCTCTTGATGACCACCATGCTGCCAAGGTCTGTCACCTGACTGAGCACTTCCCCGACACCACCAGGGAAGGTGGCTCCCACCACTAGCAGCTGGGCTTTATGTCCCGGGCCTCGTGTTTCCTTGGGATCACTAGCGATGTTTGTATGGAGCAGGATGTTCTCTAGCATCTCAGAGAAGCTGGGGTCGAACATAGTGTCAGCCTCGTCTATCACGAAGAAGCTCAGCTCACTCAAGTCCAGGCAGCGTCTCCGCAGGGCCTTCACCAGAGCACCGGGAGTAGCCACTAAAATATCCGGTTGATCCCCCTTGAAGACCACCTTGATGTGTCCTACACCTCGCCCCCCGCCCACAGTCCTCGTCAGCAAGCCAAACGGAGCACACAGAGTCCTGGAAACAGCCGCCACTTGCTCAGCTAGCTCTCTGGAAGGCACAAGGACGACAGTGCAAACCTTGTCCGCACTCTCAGTGTACATATCTGATTCCTTATCAGCCTTCAGTCTGTGAACAATAGGCAGGAGGTAACTCAGAGTTTTGCCACTGCCCGTCTCTGCAGCACAGAGAATGTTCTGACCTTTCATGACCTTTGGGATGGTCTGCAGCTGTACAGTAGTGGGCTGGGTAATGTTGATACTGGCCAAAACTTCCACCAGCTCCTTGCAGAGGCGGAAGTTGTTAAAAGTCACCGATGTTTTCTGTTCGACATCCTCCTTCTGATTTTCTGCAACAAAAGGTGCGACCGTCTTGATGTTGTTGATGGTGAAATAGTCACCGAACGATTTGTTATGTTTCCATCCTTTCGAGCAGAGAGCGGGCTGCTCGAACTTTCCAAGAATGTACCCGGCAGACTGGTTCAGATCAGGGTTCTTGCTCTGGATCAGGAGCTTGCCAGCTTTGACGGTGCTGATCTTGTTTTTTCCTCGAGTCTGCTTCACATCGTCGACGCGCTTCTGCATGTAGCGAGGGATTCTGATGACTGCGGTCTCTGCTGCCGTGGCTGCTGTTTGACAAAAGCGAGCTTGACTAACAGAGGAATGGACCCGACTGCAAGACGATAATTTACCAAACTCCGGACGGTAAATCCTACTGAAGGAGAGAGCTCTCGACGCAGCCAAACAGCCGACCTTCACGGAGTGCATTTTGGTGTTGAGCTGGTTCGCTTTCAGTTAAAAGTCAGCTGACACGAATAAAACCGCTAGAGAGCAGTCAAACCATGGAAATGAAACCAGTTTAGTGTACTCTGGTCCTTTAAACATCACTCTAAATGTTCTCAAAACACAGTAAATCTGTTAGCATCCTGTCTCACTTGACAGCAGGGTCGCCATGCTGTATTGGCGATTGTTGATGATGTCAGGAGGGCGTGGAGTGATGGCGTAGGCCCATTTAGAAAGGCAACGTTTAGATTTGTCTAGAATATAAAAATATTACCATTATTGTAAAAGAAAATCCCAAAGTCCACGACAGCTGTATAAACAGTACTTGAGAAAAGTACAAATGCAGTAGAATGAATACATTCATTAAACCAATTAAATGGACGTATAAATGCTGCAAACAGAAAAGGGTTTGACATCCTTTTTGTTCACAAAAGATTTTATCATTTTTAATGCAAAGTTCCCTGAAAAAAAATGAGGGAAGAGTTACATCTATGTATATAATTGCTGGCCAGTAATATCATTATGTTTACAAGGTATAATTATTTTGATGGTAAAAATAAAAAAGTAGTTTCGAGCAGTAAACTAATCGACCATCCCCAGACAAGTGTCCTTTTCTAACCTGATCACTGTGTTTGCTTTGAGGTCTTGCACTTTGCATGTCGCTCTAACTGTAAATCAATCAGCTGATCACTGCCCTAGTGAATCAGCACTGCCTGCGGTACAGTAATGTTAGAGATTGTAATAGATTGGGGAAGTGTGAGAAAGAGCACTGTCACTGACACAGAGTGACAGTCGATAACAGTCCACATGACTCTGGTCAGTCCTCTTCAGCACTGTAAATGCACTTGTATGAATTGTGACATTGCCCAAGAAAGCTGATTTACATTTTATCTGATTTATACAGAACTTCTTCATCTTGTCATGCATGTCAACATAGTATGTATGACTTACTTAACGGCAAAAGACTTGTCTGGGGTGAGATATCCCAGTGTTGCTGCTTTGCCACAGGGAGAGTAAGATAATAAGAAGGACACTAGGCATGGATCCAGAGAGGGTCCAAGTCTCTGCTGTGTGGCCCTCTCTCTTCAGCTGCCTGTTAGGAATGTTTTCATTCCTTTGTTTTGGTTCACACATCTTCCCATCATATTCTTTTCTGCAAAGGATAATTGCATTTATACACAGCACAGAAAAAAAAAACATCAGCCGGCTGCATCAGGCCTGTGGTCTCATCCAGCATTGATTATACATCACCTACCCTTTCCATGTGCTGAATGAATCGGCTCGCTGATTGATTTGCTGTAGCCTCAGAACATCACACACACTTTCTGAAATTGAATCTCTGTCACATGTCGGACAAAGCATTGCTGCGGCAGCTGGAATCATTCCCACTGCGTACAGTTTTTTTATGTCCAAACCCTGGGCTTGTGATTACCCAAAGAGAGGCAACTGTCCAGCTCACTCATTAGACTGAAGTCGATATTCAGTTTCACAGACTGAACATAAGAGGGCAGCATAAATCCACAAAGACGACTTCAAGTCCCAGGAAATCCTAATCAGAGCTGTGAAAGCAAATTTTTTGCACCTTCTTCGAAGTCTGCAATAATTGTTTAAAATGGTTTCAAAGGAAAGAAAATATAATGTTTGTCTAGGATTAATTATTCTTCAAAGTATACTCTGCATGTTGTTCACTATTCTGCTCTGCCACATTATCAGCATGCTGTAGTCTACAAGTCACTTACAGACAACGTAAGACACAGAATAAGAAACAAACTTACAGAAATGTTGTACTTTTCAGATGTTGAAGAATGTATATATAAACAAAAAATGCTTTTTCTACAAAAGTCTGTAATTGCCTAAGTGAGCCTTTAATTCCTTATCAGCTGACATTCTGGTACAGGACTGTGTTGACATTTAGTGAACATCGCTAGTGTTGCCATGGTGCTGCGTTGCATTTCTGCATTGTGTGCAAAACCCCAATCCTTGAAAGAGTGACACCTCTCAGAAAGGACCAGTGTGGGGGCAGATGCTGTTTTTCTTTCCTTCAAAACTTTCTTTACAAGAACATTATATCACAAACCACATCTAGAGCCTCCCACACAATTTGTTTTCTTTATCTTCTCCCTTCAAAGGTCATCTGCAAAGATAAGACAGGCAGGTAACCTGAATTAGACTCGGGTGGGTCTGGAGACACGATTGCTGCACAAGAGAAAGATAGGTCATATGTAATCATAATGTAATCAGAAGTCATATATAATATTTACAACAACAAAGTTGGTAAATTTGGAATTGTTTGGATTAATTACAACTAAAACCTTATCTTCTCCTTTAATTTTTAAGCAAATGTGGGTAGTAACTAATTCTTTGGAACTATTGTTATTATAACTGAGAAAGCAAACACTTTATTGTGCTTTAATGTGCATTCTTGAGTCTGTGTTTTTACTTTCATTCTTTAATTTAAGGGTTTTTTTTGGATGAAATGTGACTAAAATATGTTGCAGCAGGGCAAGAATCACAGCTCAGGAGGATATTCCAATTTAATTTGTTTTGCTTCTCTTTTCCATTGTCAGTCAATCTCATAGAAGAATTGATTATAAAGCTCAATCTAGAAAACCTCTTTGGAGAGTATCACTCAATATGGACTGAAATTGGTTGGTACTTATGTGCAGGCAGAGAATTACTTATCATGCGTGACTAACTAATAGTACCTGTTGCTCATAGTAGTCCCTAAAGTAGTTGCTTCTAGGTTACAAAACAAGTAGTATTTGTTATTTATAAATTATTATTAAGTCAAGTTACTACACGTGTCTGAGTAGAACACTTGTTGGTGAAATAGAATAATTTATATGATATTTGTTGCTAATCAGACCATTTAAAATGGGAGGATAACATTAAATTGTATAAAGTTTAGAAAGGAAACTAAAAACAGCTTTTGGTTTATATTCGGATCTCAGAGGGATTTTGATTGCACTCACATCAACCCTTACAGTATTGAGAAGAGCAAATTATCTGTTGGGACAGAATTGCCTCAGAAGATGGCATCTAAGTCAAAAATTGTTAAACTTTGTGCTTTTGCTTGGAAATTAAGACCACAGGAAATGTGATATTGATGCTTTGAGATGCATTTGTGAGCTAAGCGCCTGTCTGTACGCCCACATGCATCAAGCATAGGTATATGTAGTGTGGCTGTGTCAGAAAAATAAGAGGCTGTTGTCTGCTGCGCATGCAATTTGTGTTGAGGACGGACTGATTTACATCAAAATGTGCTCTTGCAGAAGTTATTTTTAGCAATATAATAAACAATCTTTGGTGCTTTTTTTACCCCTGGTACTGTGCATGTTGAGCGTTAATACAGAAAAACAAGCAGAGTAAATTTGATTTTTTTTTTTACACAAAGAAGTACTCATTGTTTCTTTTATTGTTTGTTTTTATTAATTCGACAGAGTTTTATAACTCTACTTATCAGTCTTGCAAAAACCTTTGGTGAAACATTAAAAACTTGGTTTATGGAGGCACATATTCTTTATCAGCCGCAACTCTGTGTGTGTGTGTGTGTGTGTGTGTGTGAGTGCATAGTACAGGTAGGGGGCATCAGATCAAGACTTTAAATACTGCAAATAATGTATTTAAATTCAGAGTTGCGTGTCCATAATATAATATCTCCAACAGGGTGAAATCAGGAAATTACCGACTGTTGAGTTGTCAGGCAAGACGATCATCAAAGCAGCAGAACATTAAAGCTTTAAAGTGCATCAACCTCTGTGTTGCTTGCCCAATACAGATTATCTTGCGAGGAGATTGATAGGTTGGATAGAGACACGGAGGTTAGAGAGAGTGGCCAATACACAAACAGATTTACTATTGCTTTATTCAAGACGCAGATTTCCATTTACCATCCTATCTCTGGTAAGAAATTGTGTTAAGACATTGTGATTTGAATAAATCAATGATAGAAATGACCCCCTCAGAGAAGGACTATACGGTGTGAAGTTCTGAATTATGCACAAGAAGCAAAACTTTATTATTATACATTATTAGCTTGTCATGTCAGAGTTATTTTTATTTAACACTGGCTAATTCAAATGCAGGTGCGCGGAGTACACATATATCTTTAAATGACAATATAGATTTACTGGCTTACTAGACTAAATGGTTGGCTCACAATATGTTCATCTTCTCAACCATTATCGCACCTTTGGTCAACATTTTAGTGTTAGTGTAGGTGTGAAAATACCCACCCAGTGCAAAACACTGTGCAAAATCACCATTTGAGTAGCTACATTTAGAGAAATACACTTCAAAGTGAGTGTGAAACACCCAACTTAACCCTTAGAATCAGGGATTAAAGTGGCAAATAACTACATTTACACCCTGTGCTCTGGGAACACAAACGACATTTTTGTTTTTAATGGCACTTGGTTTGAGGTACTATTTAGGCGGCATCCTCTCTAAATTATTCAGACAGCTATGATCAAGATGTCTATTGTCTGTGAAGATTCTCAGTCATCCAGGTCATAGTTATCCAACGAAGGTTATAGTCAAGGGCAAATGGACTTGGTTGAAGATACTGGAAGACGTTTCGTCTCTCATCCAAGGGACTTCTTCAGTTCTGACTGACTGGTAGGGAAACTCAGCTATTGTCTATTGTCTATATCTATCTATATAAGATGTCTATTCTTCCACCTACAACATAGCCCCATTCACAAGCCTAAATTAAGCTAGAATAGAATTGAATCGGTCTACGTGCTGACAGGCTCAAGAGATCTAAAGGTAAAAAGTGCATCATGTCATTCTGCTAACGAAATCCTGGTTTGGATTGGAACAAAGAGGCAGGGTTGAGGGCCATACGCAATCGGATGTAATCTAAAAGTGGGTGGTTGGAAGAGAAGGGAGAGCCAATTAAATAGAGACAGAGTGGCTGTTAAGACCTAGTTGCTGCAAGGTCAAAAGGTTTCTTACATGCAATTTTAAATGTTTGGACATTTTGCTTTGCAAAAACTGCTAATTAAGACAATAATATAATCAAAGGATTTTTAGTAAAAAAAGTTTCCTGTATATTCTCTGTCTACTGTTTTACTTTCCAGGCACCAAAGTGTCACTCTGGTTACAAAACATACAACACCTTGCAATATACGTTAGGCTGATATCTTGGTGAGTCTTTGATAAACTGTTCATTAACTCCATAGCTGAGGAGCCGTGTGTCT